CTTCGCCCTTGTGAAGCGCTTTTAAATAAAATTGTACCATACTATACTTTTTTTTTTTGGGGGATACTACTATGATATAGTCTGCTACTTCTTACCCAAAGCGCGTGCGCTCAAAAAAATAGCTTACGTTTATCGCGTCCGTTTGTTGGAATCCCTTTTTTGAGCCCCGTTTTGAACAAACGCGCCACGGTCGCGCACGGTGTGATGAACAACTATGTTAAGTGCCAGGTGCGCATTTGCCCGTTTGGAAATCCACCCATGTAGAGGAATAATCGCGGCGCACAGTAGTGAGAAGCACACACGGTGACCATGCACACCATGCCCACGCCTTTTGGTTGCTTGAATTCTCGTGTACACAGGCATGCGCATCTGCAGATGTGTATACATATGCACACATATAGCGCCCCCGCGCGGTAACACAAAAAAGACCTCAATCAATGCGCACGTTTAAGAATATTCTTAAACAAAGCGCAAATGTGAACAGAGGGAATAGCCGTTTTTTCATAAGATCCCGGTTCAAGGCATACCATAACGCGTCGCACAGATATAAAGCTGAAGATGCTACCACGTACGACCGAGAAGTTAAGATAAAGCAGATGAATTCATCTGTCCTGTGTATTTTCTCTAATATGCTGTTAAAGGAAAATATTAAGAATGACTTCATTTGGAAAAAAATCGAAAGGAGATCCTACGAAATAATGGATAAATTTGAAGTGGGAGACATCGCGTCATTCTTATTTTGCTTGAGCAAAATGAGATACGAAACAAACTTATATGAAAGTTTCATTCCAATCATAAAAAAAAAGAGTGAATATTTTAATACGTCCAATTTAGCTATGCTAATATCGACGTACTCGAAAAGGAAGAACGAGGACTTAATCATACTGTTAAAGGAGGAATTAAAAAAAAAAGTGCATACTATTCACAACGTAGTGGAGATCTGTATGATTTTAAATGCCCTAGTTAAGAGTAAAATATATGATGAACATTTATTTGTCAAACTGAGTAACATAATTGCTGAAAATGTAATTCGAAACCATGTACACGTGAGGGACATATGTGTAATTGCCTACTGCTATGCGTGCATATTGTACAAGAATATGAATTTTTTCAAAATTCTAGCGCAAAAAATTGTGCTCCTCATGGATGACATAAATTTAGTGGACCTGTGCAGAATATTATACGCATACATGAGAGTAGATCAAAATTTTTATCACATATTAAAGCTATCTGCACTTAAATTACCCAACGTTATGGACAACAGCACCATCAATGACGTCATTAACTGTGTTCATTTTTTACCCATATTAAAAGAAGTTGTTGAAGCGTGCAATGACGCTACGACGAAGAGGATTGATCCGCATTTAGACGGATCGCTAAACTACAGCATCAATTACGTACATTTTCTCAATTACATAATAAATGTATTCAATGAGAAACTGCTCAGCTACTTGAATTTGTTGAGTGCGAACCAGGTGAGTAATCTGTTTTACATTTACTCCAGGTATAACATCCTTATAAGTCTGTCCAAAATGGACATTTTTATTTCGCACATAAGAAATATGAAACTGTCGAGCGAGTTAAAAATTTACATTTTGTATTCGTTGGCAATACTGTTCAAAAATTATGAAAACAACAACAGTGGTTTATACAGTTGTGACTTGCTGGACATGAACAAAATTTTTGTTAAGCATAATGGCGAACATTTCCCGGATCAGAAGCACAGGAAGGACAACATCATATGTTTAAATAAGGGTGATTACGACGCAATGAAGAATAACCTTCTGTTCTGCTTGAAGCAGTGGGAAGACGACATCAACCTGTTTGTAAGCAACTACGACATTTGTTCTATTCAAGAAATTATAAAAATCTTAAGCATTTTTTTAATCCTCAATCATACGCGGAACTCACTTATTTCCAATATCAAAACGTACGTTATAATGAACTACAAAAGTGTGAATGAACACAATGCCTACACCTTGATGTTTTATTTTCAAAAATTGAATGTGATAAATGATGATGAGGACTTTACACAAATTTTGAAGTGTAAAATTAAATCGCTAAAATGAAACAGCCAAAGTGATCAACAAAATGAAAATTTGTATGAACAGAAGGTAGCCAAAAAAAAAAAAAAAAAAAAATCTACCTAATTTTACCCCTTTAAAAGGAAAAAATCTGCCATGTGCATGCGGAATAGTATTAAATATAAGCTTAATTTTTTTTTTTTTTTTTTTTTGCCTAAACAGGTCATACATTTTGAGCCAATAAAATAGCCGTAAATTGCATCAGTGGCAAATGCCTTTTATAAGCCTACATTTTATGCTATATTTTTTCCCACATTTTGTAAAAAATTCTGCAAAAAGTTGCCCATAATTTGAGGATTTTTTTATTTTCCAACACATTTTTCGTTTGTAGTGCTTTAACCGCTTTTCATCTTTATCTTTATTTTTATTCCATTTTTTTTCTTTTTTCTTTCTCCCCCTACCATTTGCGCTTTTTACAATTCCCATCTTTGCAAACTTTCCTTTTTCGTTTGAAGAGCCCTTTGTTGTCGCCTTTCCTGCTGCTACCACATTTTGTTCAAAAATAAACGTAAAAAAAATTGAAGCATCTATTTCTGACATATATATTTGTTACAAAGACGCATAAAAACATCGTAGACAGAGTGGAAGATTACGTTCTTTTTTCAACTATCAGAAGATTGTGGAAGGAGAAGAAAAAAAAAAAAAGGACCGCACAGAAGTCTGCACAAAAACCAAATTTACCCTTTTAACACAAAAATTTATACAAAATGTTGTGGCTAGGAAAAATGGACAAGTGCTGCTGCTTCCCATTAGCGGGGGGGTGCATCATTGGAATTATGATTCATATAGCATTTTGCGTATCAGCAATATTCTCCCATGGTATAGAATATAGAATTCTACTCATAATTACAAATGCAATCATGGCATCCTTGTTAATTCTTGGATTGACACTCAAAAATTTTGTTATTCTTTGCATTGCTGCTATTTCTGTGGCATTTATTCTGGTAAATTACCTCATATCCTTCGTACTTATCTTCATTTCCCTTTTTGTAAAAGATCAACACTCACTGGAAAGTAAAATTTTTACCACAATTATTGTGTTCATTATGCTGTTCACAACAACGGTTTTCTTTAACATTTATTTATCGACATGTAAAGTTTTCCAAGCTGGGGGAACAGGCTGGGAATTCAAGAATTATATGGAGATAGAGTCTGACAAACAGTTGGACAAGAGGGAACAAAAGAAGGAAGAGAAGAAGGAAGAATCGGACGCCTATGGTGATTACAAAGCTTAATTATTGTTGTGCGATCTGGAAAGCCCAAAGCATAGGCGACTTCGGCGGGACGCAAGTGATGTGTAGGTTGTTTGAATGAGCCAGCGCAACGCGTAAGACGCGCGAACAGGAAATAGGCGCCTGACGTTCGCTCAAGATGCTAATAAGTGACCTCGTTATTGACGCAGCATGGTCACCCCTTGAAGGCACCTTCGTGAAATGAGCCAAACGCATGATAAGTGTGAGACACGTGATAAGTGCGAAACGCGTGAAACATGCGAAATGTGTGATAAGTGCAAAGCACGTTAAAAAGGTGAGAGAGGCGAAGAATCACTAATGTCCAAGCGTGATGCCAAGTTAGGCTGAGAAACAAATCAAACAAAATAGAACAAAACGAAGCGTCAAGTTTGTTATCCCATGTACACGCCACCTTTCCCTCCCCAACTGTGCACGCAAATAAATGGTGCATGATCTCCTGCATTCCCCCTTTCCCTTTCGTCTCCACTCCCTAATTTATTCATTTGCTTATTATTTTTTTCACGTATTCTTTTTTTCATGTGGTCTTCACTAGTTCGCTCCATTTTACGGGAGGAACATAAGGTGTGCCTGCTTACGAAGTTTTTACTTTTGAGAAAATTGGAAAACTGAACCCCTATTCATTAAATTATCAATGTGACTTATTAATTATAAATAAGAGGCTATAATTAGGCAGCTGCATTAGGCAGTTGCAATTGAGAAGAAGAACGGGTGCACGCGCGTTCCATTTTTGCGCTGTGACTTTTGCAAAATTGTAAAATGCAGGAAAGATAGCGCCAAAAGTACGTGCAGGTAAGTTTGTTCAGATAATTCTTCACACATTAGTGTTAACATTGGTGTTGTTGCTTTTTTTTTTTTTTTTTTTCTCACCATCAGCTAGGTGGTTCTATTTTAGGGCAAGCTTTACATAGTATAATTAACACATATGGGTCCTTAAAAAAGGGGTGAAGTGGCCTAGCATACGGCGCGAAAAGGAAAGTAATTAGCCTAAGGATGAAGGTGAGCTTTTTTTCATGTTCTTAGGGAAAAATTACGAGTCCGATTGGCCCCATTTGTCTGACTCGATCTAATGATACCAAATCATGGGGGAGGTTCACATTTTCCTTATTAAGCGTAACGTGATCCCTTTTGTGAAGGGAAGATGCTGCCTCTTCAATGGGAACAAGCGCGGAAACCTTTTGGTGTGCCATTTGGACAGGTCCTCCTCCGATGAGCAATTATGCGCATATATCTGTGCATATACCTACTCATTAGAACAGCTAAACCTGGTAATGTTACTCTCGGTGTTATATCACTGGAGAAGGGTAGAACACCATACAATCACACATGGAGAGAACGTCCGCTTGGGCTTTGTGTATATAGCTTACTGCACACCTTCCCCAGGTTGTATTTATTCCTAGACAATTGTTTTCAATTCCGTGACATTGCGATTAGGTGTCATTTGGCCTACTTGCCAGATCGGGTAAGAGTTTCCGCAAAGGATATGTCTCAAAATGGCATAATTTCACTACTTTTTGAAGAAGCTCAAAACAATTTTAATTTCGTTAGAGAGTCCAATTTCTGCCGTTATATACACCTCCACGTTTAAGCCTTTAAGAGCTCTGCAGCAGATGCTGATATGTGGCTCTGTGTTGCTTTTACTCAAAAGGTAAAAATAAGGATATAACTGCCACAGGGGAGGTAAACAAGTTGCATTTTCTCACGTAGAATTCAATTAACAACTGGTCGTAAAAGGGAGAAATAATAACATGTTGGCGTGTTTTTTTTTTTTGTTGCTTAACCCAACCGTCTGTTCTCAGTTTCTATTTTCCTGCGTGCTCGTTTCTCTTAGTCCTCTACCACTATGGTGTCAATATGTGCCCTGAGAAGGCGCAAAAAATTATGAAAATCAAAAGGTAAAGGGATAAACTGGGCTGTCAAGTGTGGTCACACGAGGTTAACCCTATTGATGGTAAAAATATGGCAACGAAGGGGCTGTCACCGGGATGCGGATATATAAGCGGTATATTGCATATTCACTGATTAAGAGGCCCACTGCAGTGTGACTCTCACAAATTACATATCAAAAGGAGAAGAGAAAACACTCGCGCATGTACGTGTTAATGCACATGGTGGGTATGGCCCCATCGGGTTTTCTTTTATTTATCCTCTTGAACACTCTTGTTAGGATAGGCCCCTAATGGTGGAAAGAGCACAAAATGGTAAACGCTTTATCGCATCCTGTGAAGTGGCAAGGAAAATTAATCCCCGCGGGAATTGTTCCCCATCTGGTATGCACTCAAGAAGGAAAGCCATAAAATGCATGATTGAAGGGCATATATTGGATGATCTCCAAAAAAAAAAAAAAAAGAAACCAAAAGAACAAAAAAAAACGCCCATCCTGTAAAATATATTTTTTTTACACTTTTCTGTGATAAATTAAGAACCTAAAGGGGAAAGCACAAAGAACACAATTGCGAGTAGCCACAGTGAAAAAGGGGCCAATTTTACATCGCATTATACCACACAACAATTGTATAGCCTCTTTTACCCTGTGCGCAAAATGGCAGAAAGGGGACGGTGTCTGATGAGCCAAATTGACAATTTAATCAATGACGTGGAGGAAGAGGGAGAAAGTTACGACGAGCTGCAATTCTATGTACCCCCAGTAAGAGTCCCAAGAAATTTCATAAAAGATACCAAGACAAAAGGTAACAAACTGTTTGATTTTCACAAAGGTACAACCACATTGGCCTTCAAATTTAAGGATGGAATAATAGTAGCAGTAGACTCAAGAGCTTCCATGGGCTCTTTCATATCTTCACAGAACGTAGAGAAAATTATCGAAATAAATAAAAACATCTTAGGGACAATGGCAGGAGGAGCAGCAGACTGTTTGTATTGGGAAAAATATTTGGGAAAAATTATAAAAATCTATGAATTGAGAAATAATGAGAAAATCTCGGTCCGAGCAGCCAGTACCATTTTGAGTAACATTTTATATCAATATAAGGGGTATGGATTATGCTGTGGAATCATTTTAAGTGGTTATGATCACACCGGTTTCAACATGTTTTACATTGATGATGAGGGGAAAAAGGTCGAGGGCAATTTATTCAGCTGCGGAAGTGGTAGCACTTATGCCTATTCCATTTTGGACTCTGCGTACGATTATAACTTGAGTCTCGAGCAAGCCGTGGAACTAGCCAGGAATGCAATTTATCATGCCACTTTCAGGGATGGAGGTTCCGGTGGGAAGGTTCGAGTTTTTTACATACACAAGAATGGCTACGACAAAATTATTGAGGGGGAGGATGTTTACGACTTACATTATCATTACACGAACCCGGCGCAGAACGATCAGCACGTTATGTAGAGCAGCCTAGCTTGGATCCCTTGCGCGGGGTGACGGCTTAGTGAAACCGTTGCTCCGGGGTTCTACTCCGGAGTTTTGCCCAGTTGTTGCCATTTTGTTCGCAAGTTTTTTGCCATTTTTTCGCACCTTTTTTCCCATTTTTTGCCCAATTCTTACATTGCATGCGCAGATCAAATTGGACAATTGCCTTTTAAAAGAAACAATTTTTTCAATTGCACGGAGACCAATGGGAACGTCTTTGGCTGCAGAACGGTCTGCATATTTCCTGCCTGCCCATCTTGTGCTTCCCCATATTTTACAACGCAGTGTATGAGCAGTTTGGGACTAAAAAAAAGTTTTATGTTTTTTTTTTTAATTTTACAAAAGGGAACGCGTGGCCATGTGCGGGAAATTAAAAATGTAGGTTGATGCCATTTGGACATGCACAACAGAGAAACACACCAAGTGGAGTAGCAAATTGGAGGCTACAAAATGGGAGACACATGCGCGCGGATAAATACAAGCACATGTGCTATTCGACCGCATATGTGATGGCTGATGCTCCACCCCTTTTTGCGCCTCCGCCATACGCATATACGTGCAACAAATTCGCACTCTGCGCAGCTGCTAAATGTAATCCGCTATCTGAATCATAAGAAAATTCTTGAGCAGGTAACTGGTGAGTACAGAAAATATGGAGTAACAAATATATTTCCCGTCATTGGAAATAAATATATGATAAGCAATTGTGTTGCATATAATGGTATATACATTTAGGTATATATTGATGTAATTATAATTGAAAACCTTAAGAATGAAGTAAATGACTAGGGGGTAGTTGCTCAGCACAAAGAGCATAAAGAGGTAGTTATACTTCACCATAGTTATCTTAATTTGGTATTTCTTCTCCTGATATAGCTTGAGAATATATGTAAAAATGCACAAAAGGAGGAAGTAGACGATATAATTTATGGTCATCGATTTTAATTTCTTAAACGAAAAAGAAGAGTTACATATTTTCAAAATATATTTTTCATTGTCCAAATCGGAAAATAAAAGTTTGGAGTACATGCTGATTTGTTTAATTTTAAATTTGTGTTTCTTTTGATTTTGCTTCTTTGTTATTTCGTCCACATTTTTGTGAAAAGTAAAATCGATATTTTTGAAAATATTTCTGCACAAGCTGTTAAGTTCATCCCCCGAGCAGTGTAAATTACCGTAAGTAGGATCATCATGAAGGTTACAATCGTAGCATTTGTTGGGATGGAGAAATTCTTTTCTCGGGTCTGGACAAACATCGCCTTTGGACGGTTTCCTTACAAATGAGTTTGTCTCACTTTTGAAGTAATTCTTTGTTTCATGTCCCTTTTGGTAAAAAAATATGCTGCGCAGAAAATTGACAAAGTAATGAATGTTGTACGCTTCCTTCTCCCTCGTCTCCAGTACTAGTTTGTACTCATCGATGTGGTAATACACGAGGACGTTTATAATTTGGAATAGGCTGTTGCGTTCTTCCGAGTTTTTCAGCGTAATAATGTCGTTCCTCAACAGTTGATGGTTTTTTTTTAGTTTGAAAATGGATTCGTACTTTACGCTCCGCTGTATCAGCTGCAGTAGCTTTCTTTTGGATTCCACAAATGGGTGCAGATTTATCCAGTTAAGGCTCTCCGAAGTGGACTTCCCACCCAGGAGGGTAGGCGCCTCATGCAGTAGTGTATCCCCACCATCCTGTAGTGTATCCCCCTCCCTAAGCTGCGCCTTCCAAGTGCTCGGCTGCATGTCCTTCCTCCCATAGCTCTCCTTGTTGTGCAGAAACAAATCAATCAGCCGCTTGTCGTAGTCCTCCGTCTGTTCGTACTTTCGGTTGAGGATGCAAACATTGTGGTCCCTAAATCGGTTGTGAAAAATGCAAGTCAGAAACTTGTTCTTGTGTATATTGACCAAATTAGGAACGTTCGATTGGTTAAAAATGTTATATAGCCCATAGAGCTTGTGTTTATCGTCATATTTGTACATAAAAAGAGTGTAGGAGGAGCAATTATACTCAGTGGGATAATTCCTTTGGATGCTTTCCCCGAAGGTGGTGTTGGTTAGAAAAAAATCGGAGAAGGTGCCTCCTTCCCTAGGATCACTTTCAAAGTTAGGGTGTAAGTATGCATTTATTATTAAAAACAAAATGATCATTTTGAGAAAAAAAACGTGAATAAATTTGTCATGATACTTGAGTCGATTAAATATGATGTGTCTATAAACTTCCGGCTTGAGGAATAAAATATTAATAAATATTAGGAAGGTATTTTTCTCCATGTATTCATCACATATGTTACTGCACCGGTTGCATTCGTTCAGCTTTATGTTCGTCTTGTTGTACACAGTGTACAGACTAGAGTTGTATCGCCCACATTTGATGCAAATCATTTTGTTGTCCCTTTCGCCTCCTGCGCGGGGTACGCCAAGTTGGGTTTCCCCAGCGGGGGCGGAATAAAATACATAACCGAGCGCATATGCCGAGGCAAATACAAATAGAGACCCCTTCCTTATATACACTTCGGGAACACGCTAGAGGATAGAGAAAAATCTTATTAAGAAGAAACTAAAGAAACCCATGCTGAAATGGCAAATCGTGGAGTTACTCGGGCATATTAACCCTATCCCGGATTAACATCTGCGCTGCATCAGAAGTGCGCGCAGTGGCGGCTGTTTGATTGGTCATGCAAAAGGAGAAGCGGAACTACCAGAAGGGGGGTAACGCGAGGGTTTTACCCCTCCCGTTTTTTTAACCATCTCCACATTTGTTTCCTCTGCGCACCCTGCCCAAACGAGCAAGAAGCAAAGTTCCCCTTTAGATAAACGTGGAAGCTCACTAAGCCACAGAGTTAATTTACGCGCGAAAACATGTTTGTGCCGATTCAGTCGACCGTCCTTAACGCTGGATTATCCACACGTTCGCCTGGTGAGCGGTTTGTTCGTGGTGTGCATCTACATTGTACCTGTTTCTTAAATGTGTTTTTTTTTTTTTTCTCAACCCTTGTTAAGCTAAGCGAGTACCCAAAAAAGGAACGACCTTTTTTACGCCACAGTTACATGAGTACCTCAAAATCGGCTCAATGCCTTTACAATGATTAATAAGAAAGTTTGATCAAAGGGGATGAGTATATGGGTGTAAATAATTACACGCGTGTGTACACAGATATACATATATGTTTATGTATACACCCACGGACAGGGACGTAAAAAAAACTATACAGCCATAGCTGCGCAAACTGCGCCAAATAATTCACGGAAGGGGATTAAAAGGGCCATCTCGTTTGGAAGTAACGCCTGCGCGGATGCCTATGCAGACGGAACACTACGCGGATGGACGCATCAGCAAACGCACACTATCTATTCTTTCGATATAAGTAGTTCATAAAAAAGAGCAAAAATAGGAAGAACAGGATGAGGTAAAAGATGTATTTATTTCCCTAAAAAAAAAGAAGAAAAAAAAATACGATCATGTGAAAGTTTTTCCAGTAAAGCAGACTGGAGCATTTAAAATATTTTTTTCTCTCACTATACCTTTGTCTTTATAATATTTTTCACGCGCCTATACACTCCTGTTAATTTTCTGTTCACGTTTTCCATCCTGTTCGACTACGACGAAATTGTAACAAAAAAAAAAAAGGGGGGGGAGGCTATTCATTGTGTGCTTATTTGTGTGGGGGGAAATGGTATCACAACTTGGGAAGGGGTCGTAGTGGTAACATATCGGGGTGCCACTCTTTGGGGAGATAAAAATTTCCTCTTTTCCTTTTTACCAAATTATCCAGGAGGGAGTTGGATGTGCGGACTTCATCTCTGAGGTTGGATCCAAGCTTCGAGTTTTTGCGATTAAAAAGATGAGAAAAAAAAAAATACTCATTTGAATGTCAAACTGGGTGCCCATTCATGCGTGTACATTTGTAGCCATTCTACTTGCCTCTACTCGGGGCGATCGTTTGTCTTATTCTCATGCAAACGAAATCACATTAGCAACCCTTTCACACGGTTTAGTGGCGAATTGTCTTACCAGTTTCAGTGTCTGAACCTTTTTCTCCAAGTCCAGTATGTAGTTGTCATTTTCCTCTAGGTATATATTTATATTTTCATTGTATATGTCATTGTTATTATTATTTTTTTTCTTCTTTTTCCTCGAATTAAAATCCATATTAAATGAAAGTTTTAAAAATTGTCATTCTACCGTTTCGATGAGGCGAGGAGGACTTATAAATATAGTATAACGCGTTTCCTTCTTGCGGGAAAAAAGTAGAAATCCACTAGTGCAGAAGAAAAAAAAAATTACAAGTGCTGTTTTTGCTGCCTCGGGAGTAGCCTAACAGGGGATTCTCAAAATGTGAGTGCGCCTTAGGCAATAACGCTGTCCCCTTTCGTCTTTGTGTTTTTGCTTCCTTTTCCGTTCCGTTGCTCCTCCCCCGCCTTTTAATTTTTGGCCTGGCTGCCCAATTTGAAAAATCTTCTATTTGGGGTGACTGGCGAGCGGTTCTCCTGAGGCATGCGTCCGCGGAAGTTCGAATCTGCAGGGAATTCTTCCTGTACACGTATATGTTTATGCGAGAGGAGTATACCCAATGTGTACATAACGTGAAAGGAAAAGTGCGGAGGAATATACAAGCTGGAAAAAGAAAAAGGCAAACAGATTGGAAATAAAATGACGATAAAAATGGCGAACAGATTCGCAATAAAATGACGAAAAAAACAGCAAACAAATTGGCAAAACATGGAGATAAAAATGGCTATAAAAACGACGAACAAATTTGGCGCGCAAAGTGACCAACAAATTGATGCACGGAGAAACGCGCAAATTAGCGAAGTACCATTTTTATAAAAGATAATTTTTTTTCAACCAATCTGCATTAATTTCGCCCCATGTGATGAGCAGAGTAGTCCGTAAAATTTTGCCACAAAAAAAAGTGCAATCTTTTCGACAGGTCCATCAATTTTTCCCTGCTTCCGCTGTTCCTTTTTATTTTATTTTTTTTCTTTTGGAACTCCACTAATCCAGGCGCCCACCGCGTGATGTTCAAGCTTCCTACAGTCCAGTTGAGAAAAAGGCAGAAGCTATCTCAAGACTGGAGTGCATAAAAAAGTATACACGTATGTTTTTACGTTACATGCATTTCTGTGATCACATTCGGAGTGTTTAGAACAAGGGTGTGAAGTTATCCACATGTTTATAACCTTTCTGACGCGTCATTTTTTTTTTTATTTTCCTTCAACCTTCTGTGGAGAGCACTCCCTGAGTTAGCACCAATGAAAGTGATTACTCCACATAGGTAGCTGCGAACCGTGGGTCGCTTGTCTCTGTCTGCCCATCATTGGAATTTCCCCCCTCGTACAGCCGACGCGGTAGATTAATAAAACCCAGGACAGACTTGATGTACCACCGAAAATGTTAAAATGGATAAATCGGTAGGCAACGCAAAGCGTGTTAACTCGTCTACAATTAAAGGGGGAGAGGAAATCTCAGCCAATGTACTTCTAAAGGTTTTACATCCTGTAGTAGTGGCACTGGTAGCATTGAAGCCACCGCGGAAACTCTCACTTTCGGCGAATGAGCCATATCTCACTTGGGGAAGCTGGACGTAGGTCAAAAGAAAAAAAAAAAGAAAAAAAAAATGAAAAAACAGAAGAGACGGAAAAATGTAACCGAGGAAGAACGCACCATGGACGAGTTGGACGAATCGGACGAATTGGGTTCCACGGGTGAGGGCGAAAAAACACAAACGAATTACAAACGGAAGCGCAAAAATTACCGGGAGCTGTACACTGAATACAATGAAGGGCGAAACAGCAAAATCGATTTCTCGTATTACATAAATATAGAATCGACGATCATAGAGCTGCTTCTAGATAATAATCTGGAATCTTTTAAAAATGCAGGGAAGCTGCTCTTTGTCGTTTTGTCGGGCATGTCCCCCCGAGTGCTATACTTAAAGAGAGTGCTAAACTTAGTAAACTTTTTCTTTTACAAAGGAGGAATCAAATTTTATCACAGTGATATGCACCTGAAGATACTCCTCTTCATTTTTAAGCGAATTAAAGCTAGATATATGTTTCCCCGTCTGCGCATTTTTAATCTCCTAATGTCCAATAATAACTTAAAGGAGCTTGAGAAGTACAAATATGTCTACACCCCAAAGGGAACCTTCTTCACCTTTATCGACCATCTGTATTACCACATAAAAGATTTCATGATCACAGTGAGGAAAATGCTAATGCAAGACTGGGTTGAGAAAGTAGAAACCAAAGCGTTAGCATCCGACAAGTCCAGGGAGAAGCTTCTAAAAAAACTAAAGGCAAGTGAAAAAATCGTCATATATAAAGAAACCGATGAAGAAATATTAACACACTTCTCAAAATTGTTCAATATGCAGTATGCAAAATCTCTGGATAAATCGCTGAAGCAATTAATACAGCAATGCGTTAAGGTTAACTTCCCCCTGCACAGCATTTACCTTGATATTTACATTCTGTACAATATAAGGAACATCGTGAAACTGCTGGTGGTGATAGACCAATTGTTCTGTTCCCTCTTTCCCTACTACTACTTTTACGAATTGAAATTGAAGCTTCTGCTTCTGCATATACATAAGTGTCAAGCGGGGATGGCTTGGCAGAAGGGAGCTGCGACAGTCGTGGGAGCTCCTCCCCTAGATGACCCTATAAATGACGCCACCGCTATCGCCACCTCGGACGTGACAGCACTGAAAAGCCAAGGGGATGGACGCACTCTTCCGAACGTGGCCCCCCCAACGAAGAACGCTATTAGAGCCATTTCGCTGATGAGAAGCCTCGGAGGTGGAAAATCAGACGAGAACAGCACCCTCCTGTATGACGAATCATCTGTGGGGAACATAAATTACCAGCTGGACAAAAATGACCAGAGAGAACTACGAAAGTTGCTAAAACTGAGGAAAAGGCAGAAGGAAGAGGCCAATGAATATCTAAACAGCCTGTACAGTAGTGACTCCAGCAAGAGTAACAACAGCGATTTAAGTGAACCTACAATGAAGCAAGACTTGCCACTGGATCAACAGTACAATGAAAATGACGACGATGAAAAGAATCTATACTTAGACGCTTTTATGAATTTATACATTAACTGCACAGAAGGAATGGTTAATAGTTTACCGTCTCTAAGCGAATTACACGATTTTCACCCCCTGAAGCAGCTGAATCAGAAAATTAGAAGTAAGCGGATGGAGGGAGGAAACCTCAACAGTATTGTCTCTCCCATATTGAAAGAGGCAAAGATAAATGATATCAACAGTGCAGACATGAGCATGGGAATGATGGAAGATGCGAAACATCTACTGGAGGAAAACGAGCTAGACAACGACTTTAATATAAAAGAGAATGAACAATTACCAGGGGATGACCCTATTACAACGAAAAAGGAAGAAGGCAAAAAGGGAAAACTAGCAAGCCTTCCTAACATCGAAAATATTCATAAGGACACATATAACGACATAGCGTACAATATAAATGTTGTTGCAAACGTCGCCAAAAGTTTAATTTACTCATCAAATTATGACCCCATATATGTGAAGCTGTTTTACTTTTATCTTTTACCTGTCATTTCGTTTGAAAAAAGAGTTGACGTATTTTTAACTTATTCGTATACAAGCTATAAAATTATGAAGCCATTAGTTTTTATCCTATTTTATAATAACCATACGTCGATGTATATTCTTAATACGGTCAAGGAGGTTTTTAAACAGGATAAGTTCCTTTTTCAGAGATATAAAAGCTCATATTTCAATGGACTTTCCTTGAGAGACATCCCGAAGAGCCATTTTATCTTTTTGCTGCTCCTCTCCGTTTTTTTTTACGACCACAAGGCGGAGTCTCTTCTCTACATATTCAAACTGTTTTGCAAGTAAGCGAGGAGGGGAGACAACTCTACATAGGGGGGGTTCCGATCTTCCCATGTTCCGGCGTTCCAGCTTTTCAGGGTTCCAGTGTTCAAGCGCCCCGGTGTGCCTTCGAATTGGCGAGTGCCCCTCCCATTCGGCGAAGTTCGTCGATTTTACCCCTTTTTTGCAAACTCTTTTTTTTCCGAACCCCCCCCCGCAGCTACGACCATGACGTCATCAGCGACCAGGAGCGCGACATAAACTACAAGAAAATACACGAAGACGTGGTGCTTGAAAATGACCAAAAATACACGGAGCAGAAGAAAGGCATAAATATAATAATCATAAAGTTTATCGAAATATATGAAGAGAAATTTGGTACCCACCTTTGCGACTACTTTGATTTCTACAGGATATTTTTTATACTCTTTGCTTCATGTGTTGACATGGAGTGAACGGGAGTGGGCATGTGCTGAAGGGACGCTTCGCCTCGTAGGCCCCCGCAGTGTGGCCTCCACCTTTTTTCTATCCAAATTGTCGCAGAACTGAGAGGAAGTAAGGACACTAAAAGGCGTCCCCTGGAGGCCTGCAAATTTTTTCTCACAATGTTGTCCTCTATTTGATGCATTTACCACTCCTTTGGTCTTTATTCGTTTTTTTTTTTTTTTTTTTTTTACAATCATCGAGCACATTAATTAGCCCCAATTTGGCATACGTGTAAAAAAATTGCGAAATGTAAAGTTGCACAATGCAATGTGAATGGTAGCGCGTCAAATTAAAGGGTACGTAAGTACCAGTTCGTTCCTTCAAAAAATAACGTACGGCGTTTTTTCGGATGCTCTTTCGGATGATCCTTTCTCACTGCGCGCATTACACAATGTATCATGAAAAGTTACAAAGTGGAGGAAAGCAGAAAATTTTTTTCTTTTAAATAAATTGTCTACTCGTTAAATGTTTTCCTTCTGATCGCTGCGTTGCAGTTTTTGCATGTGCACTTGCTCGAAGGGGTAGCAAATTGGAATATCTGATGTGGTTGACATAGGCGGTTTGCAGTAAGCAGAATGATGAGGTGGGCGTACACTGGATTTAATTAACCGCAGGGAGTTTCCTTTTTTTGTGTCATTCTATCCTTTCTTAAGAATAGCTCACCAAAATTTGTTTGTGTGGCTACTGTTAAATTAGGAGCCAATCTGTTCCAGCCCAATCGATGCATATACAACAGTGCGCGTATGTATGGGGGAATATTCCCTCTGGACGACTTACTCAGAACAGGACGTTAAAATGGTGAAGGAAAATTTCCATTGCACATGAAGTGCGCTTCGATCATTTTGGAGAACTGAAATTGCTTCATCGCGGTTTTGTAACGTTAATAAAGAAGAGGAACGTTTGGGCGGGAATGGACTTTCCGTAAACAGTTGCGACGTAGGTGTGCACATTGCAGGGCAGTTCTTCTGACTCTTCTTCGGTTACATTTGTGCGTATATATTATAGCCTTGCCTGTGTATAATTCTGTAGGCTCCTCCTTAACACACGTAGGCGTGCCCAAACATAGCCATAATGACAACACTTGAGGGAACATTCTTTTTCCCATGGCATACACGTAAGGGTGAAAAGAGGCAGGTATGGAGGGGAAATTTTCCCACCAAGTTGCAGCGCGGGGGCATTGCATAGTAACCCATATCATGCTTGCACTTTTTAGAATTTTTTTGTAAGCCCATGCGGAAATAAAAATTAATGTCCCAGGGACGGGCATGCTCACGTGCATGGAAAAATGAGAGGAAAAATGGGGCACCCATACAAATGGACAGTCACGATCGCATCCCAGTAAAAGGCACTCAAAATTTCTGTCTTTCGGGAAGTAGAAAATCAAGCGTGTGGAACTTTAAGAAACTGTGTGTCCCACCATACAAGCGCTGAATGAAAATTACACACAATTTTAAGGAAAACGCGGAAAAAAAAATAAATCCAAAGAAAAGATTGCCACTTTTCCTTTCCCATGTGCGTGTGATTATTTAACATTCTTAAGGCTAAATTTCGAGTAGAATTTCCCCCCCAGATCTTGAATGCTTGCACGGATTTTATTACTTCCAAAATAAAGGAAAAAAGGTGAAAGAAAAAAAAAAGAAATAGCCAGA